AAGAATATAAAAGGAATGAGAAAGAAGAAGATGTAGAGGAGGAGGAGAAGAAAATGCAGAGGAGAGAAGATGTAGACGAGCTAAGAAGAAGAAAGATGCAGAGGTAGAATGCGATAATGGGAGGAAGAAAAGTGTTTAGGTTTGTTTGCAACAATTTCGGGTTTGTGGGAATATAAATAATTTTAAAAGATTACATAATACTTCTTAATCCTAATTAAGCACTAATTACCCTTACTCTAATTGACTATTTAGTTAACACTTTAAACTTGATAGCCTTTTATTAAATGCAAACTTCAGATGGCCTTTTATAACTGCCCCATGTTTTTTGTGGGTCGTTTTTTCCGAAGTAAGGTCATTGCAAAAGGCAAATGCATTAAGAGAAAATGTTTTGACAAATTTCACAAACAACCTTTAAGGTTTTCAAAATTGCAAACTTATGTCAAGTATCATCTTTCCTATTCAAACCACCTTTATGATTTCGAAAATTGTTCACTTGAAGGTTAAAAATGTAAATCCATGTTCAGGTATTTTTCGGTTTGAGGTGGTTTTCTACTAAATCCAAATTCTAGTTGATCAAACAAACTAATTTATATAGCATTCATTTTACCTTTTTTTTTTTTTAAAATAATATTATAAGATTTAAATAATCATGCTATAGAACTTTGTATTTATTTTACAATGATATATAATTTTTTTTTTTCTATTTGTTCTTCAAACTTTCAAGTATCCCATAACGATATTTCACAAATCGAACGTGATATATTAAAATTCAAGGGATATTGTTTTTTACTTTTTACTAAAGTATGAAACATTTCCACTTCTTCCGAACACATCTTTCTTGCAAAGTCCATCATTGAAAATGTTATGTGTCCAAGAATAAGGTAAAACCATTAAGTTGCATCTCACCAACTAATGTCTTGCATCTTTTACATTAGCTTTAAGAAAAAGGCAAGTTAACAAATTGTTATTTATAATCACATTAGGCCTAATTCCTTCTAAAATCTTCTCTTGATAAAGACTAAGAACTTCGTTGACTTCTTTATTCTTGCAATACTATCTGATTAAAGTATTGTAGCAAACAACATTAGGTCCATATCCCTTTCTAGTTAAAACTTCTTCATTTATAAGATTAATTTTTATGTTGCTTATTAAAGACTATTATTAGAGGTGAGACACGAGGCAAAAAAATAAGATTTAAAGTTCATTAGAGACTATACTTCCAATAATAGATGGAATCAATTAGAAGAGAGAACAAATTTATAGCTATAAGACTTTTCTATTCTAATTTTTCAACGCATCATATTCTGCGAGAGAATTAGTGAAATATGAGATAGAATCTTGAACTTTTCTCGCAATATTTTGACATGCTCATTCTTTCAATTAATTTCTCTTATTCAATGGTAGTTGATGGATCATTATAAATTTATTTAACATTCGTTTGTTGTTTATTGATTAAATTTTCCATCTTAATCCCATGAACCACAAATTTTATGAGACAATTTTATTAATGTTTAATCATGACGCTCATAGAAGCCAAGTTAATTTCAAGGGAATCCATGAATTTTAATGTTAAACATTTATATCAGTGTTTGCTTATTGATTAGAATTTTCTTATGTCAATCGAGAACACAACTACTTTTATAACTTCAATAATGCTTAATCAAAATGATTACTATTAATTTAATCTCCTTCACAAAAATATTATTTAAGTGCAAAACAATTAACTTTAAGCATGCATAAACTGATTGCTTAAAATTAAGAAGGAATATCATACAAATACCATGGAACAACGTTTAACCCTATTCATGGGGATTATGTAAATAATCCATTCCGAAAATAGAAAGTGAAACAATTAGATCTTTTTTGAAGAATGGTACTAATTCATGATCTAACATGTACAAAGCGAAAACCTCATTCTTAATTCTACGAGAAATTTTATGAAAGCATCCAATAGAATCATGAAAAGTCTAAGTGAAACAAACATAATTATATGAGATAAGGATATTCATTCAAAACAGACAATAAAAATGAATATATGTGTGCGAAAATTTTAATCGGGCGAGCATACAGATGATATTCTTCGTATTCTTCCTCAGACATTTTCTAGACAAAAGACATTTTTTCACATTTTCCACAAGCATGTGATGCAATGCCATTGCTGCTTCAGTACACAAATTCAATAGTGCTCTGTTGGTCCATCTTTCTGTATTAGAATTTTCATCTATGACAAATAGTAAAATGGATTCTCCGCTAGAATTGAATCAATAGGTATAGAAAAGCAAAGAAACTAACAGCTACACTATGAGTATTCAATGTTATTTTAGACCAAGAACAGACCACTAACCAATAATAGTTTTCATGATCTTGTAGGATCCTATACCATTGGTCATTTGTCACATAAAAAAAAACTTGATCGCCATCTAATTGGCTAAAATTTCTCTGAATCTTGGGGTGAGGTATCGAGGCTATCCTCATCACAAATTGGATGAAATATATGTTCCACAGGAAACATATTAGAACTTTACCCTTTTGAATAAAATAGGTATAAACTTTGACATATCTGAAAGAAAATTTACAAGAAGGGTACTGATATAGATTGATCTCAATAGCACAAATATTTTTCATCCCCAAACAGGTATCTTTTGTCATAACTGTGTTTACATAAACATATTAAGGCAAAACCTTACGTTTTTTATAAGAAAGAGAAGTTTGTCAATTACTGTGCTATTTTAGTTAACATGTAACATGTAACCCCAGGAACAAAGCTCACTTCTTAAAGAACATTTCTCTAAACTCATTATTTGACTTCGGCTTCTCATTTTCGACTTCCCCGACTTTTGGATTTGTCGACGGGACACCAAGTGGTCTGACGTTCCTTGGCATTGCAAATGTGCTCCTCCCCTTCAGCTGAATGTTATCACTACGTTTATTAGCAGCATAGTGTGGCGCCCTAGACCCCCTGAAAGTCTGATTACTACATTGCGCTGTCATTTAACCCAAAAGAGTAAGAAAATAAAAGGTACAAGTGGGAAACACAAACATGCAGACTTTTATAGACTGCACTGCACTGCACACAAACAAAGACACACAGGTAATAACAAAGATAAAACATAATTCCACTTAGCCTACCATGTTCTCAAGAGGCCCCATGACTAGTAGAATCGTTTCTCTTTTGCTTCGGATTTGACCTTCCAATGCTTATCTTCTTCCCAAGAAACATTTTTTGTTCTTTCCTACAGCTGTAGCAAGGTGTGCATCATCGGCAAAATCCACATATGCTAGGCCCTTCAAAAATCGATCAGAGGATATTATAAATTAGTATGTAACGGTCCCATATAGATGCACTATAGTTTAAAGGAAAGCTGAAATATGGGTAAATCTGTATGGGACTATGGTTGAGTCTCCTAAGCATATCACTTGCTAGCAAAATGAAAAAAATATGCTTTTAGACAGTTAGACTCTTTATACTTAGAAAATTAAGCAATTTTACCATAATTATGGAATTCAATGCTTCTGTAGGTTTATTTAAGACTGCATAATCGTCTCTGGAATGGACATTCATCTTAAAACCAAAAGCGTAAGAACTAAATGATTTATTGACTGCATGAAAGCAAGAAATCAAATTGAAGTTTCAATGAGCACCCTTGAGAAATTTGATTAAAGACAATGGACTGTAATTAGCAGTTTCTATCTCCCTGAAGCAGTAAAATTAGTTTCTTAGGGCTAATCTCTGTGGTACAGTCCATATTATGCATACATATGTTGAAGTTTAAAGGTCAGGCAATGTTAAATGAGGATTTGGCTGTAACACTGATGTGCATATGGAAGGTCCAGTGGATAGCTTCCCCTTTTTCATTTGAAGCATAAAGCACAAAGAACATTGACAATAATGAATGAGAGAAAGAGAGTCAGACCCTTGACTTTCTGGTGAACTTGCCCTGCAGAATTCGAATAGATTCAACCCCACCAACATAGTTAAAGATTTTTTTCAGATCTTCAGAAGTTGCCTAAAAAAAAATTTAAAACCATTAGAATTATCTCTTTATATTTGCCTGTCCAGCATTAAAAAGGAATAAAAAGCAATCTCTCTCTGAAGTGCGAGAGAATCTCTACCTGCCCTGAAGTTAAGGTTTGATAAAAATGCAGTACACTCGTTAGTGTATACTTTGGATCTTCTAGTGGTGGAGTCTTTGATGTGCTGGTCATTTGGATGCTCTTCAAATTGGGTTTTGCTTCTTCTACTTCGTTTTCTTCAGCTAAGTTCTGTGCTCGTCCCTTTTCTTTCCCATGCACTTTGTTTGGGTTTTAGGCAGTATTTTTCTGCCGCTTAACTGGAGACTGTTCATCAGTCATGTTTGAATCTGTTTTACTCTTTCCATTAACACTTTTCTTATGCAACTTCTCTTTCTGATCTATTAGTTCAGGAATAGATTTGGCTGCTTGCTATAACCTAAATAGTTGCAGCTCTTCCAAGTAGGGTGTAATATGAGAACGGGAACAAAGACAAGCGTCTTTACACATTGAGTTAAAATAGCAAAGATTGCATACATTCAATAAATACCAAGCAGATGTATCATAATTCAGTAACATCTTTAACAATGTTACGTAACCACTTGACTTAAAAGCTTAAATTGATAGTTAAGCGTTCAACAACCATCTCATGAGTTGAATAGCCACAATCACAACCATAAATATAACATAAACACATATAAAAGTTTATAATCTAAATAAGAGCCTATTTGTTATAAATTTTAAATAGTGTTTTATTTTCGAAAACAAGGAAGTTATGCACTGTAATTTCTTCAGAAGCACTTGATACACATTCGTAAGAGATCTATGCCTGGACCTTGAAAGAGTAGACTAGCTACAAGGTCCACATTTTCTTCATCCAAAATTCACCAAGAATAGAGCATCTACAAATGTCTTGAGAAGCTTCAAGTTCTTGGCATCGAGTAAAAACAATTTTAACAAGGAAAAATGAACAGTATACCTATGCGAACCTGAAAGGTTTCCCTTATCAATGGAAAATTCAGTTCATCCTCTTCTACTCCAGGCAAAAGGATTCTTCGTCTCAAACCATCCACTCGAGTGAGGAATAAGTTTAGGTACTAAAACAAAGAGGGCTCGATTAACAAAGATCTTTAATGCATAAAATGTAGATGAAATAATAACAAGTTCTAAAGAGCAGTAAATCAAGCCTGCAAAGTACAGAAAAGAGTATCTTTACCTCCTCAATGGTCAAAAAAGTACATAGAAGGGACTTCTCAAAGACCTGAATATGACATGAAAATCTCCTTAAACAACAAGAGTAAACCTCTATATTTGTAAAAGGAGCAGAATGAAATTCCAACACTAAAGTTTGTGAAGCTTCAATGCTCTTAAGCTACTTATAACAATCTCTCATAATTTGCAACATATGAAGGGTAACAGCTGAAAGTGACAGTAGATATCTCTTTCTCAGGTGCACTGCAATGTTCCGAAGCAAGCAAAGATCGAACCCAAAGACCACCAACCCAAGGACAATTTTTCCTAGCCCTAGAATGAACATCCCGCACAATATTTCCTACCTGAAGGGAAAAAGAAATGATTAATTGCTACGATTACAAATACCTGAAACATAAAGAATTGAAAAGAGAAAATATGAGTGAAACCTTCAAGGTTTTATCCAAATAGCAAGTATAATCAAGCTAGAGATCACTTGATACAGGAAACTCGGTAATAGCACGTTTATAGAGAAGTTGAACACGGGCTGAATCTCTAGAAGACTGTTCAAACTTCAAGTAGATCTGCAAAAATTTAAAATTAAAATAATAGTATTAACACTTTAAAGAAGGAAAAAGAAAAAAAAAAAAGTAACCTATTGCCACATTGCAAGTTCTTATGCAACCCCTCACCCTCAGGAAAAGAAGAAGAAGAAAGAAGATCGAATGTTTACATAAACTGATTACTTATATTAGAAGCAAGAAAGACCATAAAAAATCGAAATTATAATGAAATTTCAATCGCATCTTTGTTGATAAAAAACTTGACCTAAAAGCTTAAGCTTGAAAAGGTAAGGACAACAATGGTATTAAGCTTTGTAACAGGCATGTTCACATGTTACATAAACCAATCAAATTCAGATAGAAAGACCAACCCAATATAGCAGGATGTAATAGATGGGAGACTCAAATCATGACCTCGATTAATATCATATAAGTTACTGTTAACCTAAATGCTTAAGGTATCAGTAAGAGCCCTAAATTATCATTTAGCTATCTAAAACAATTAGCTGTCTAAAACAATATCTGATAGTAAATGCCATATACCGTGAATTTTTGAAATTTTCGAAGTCAGATATATCCTGCTGCAATCCGTTCTTCAAATCAGCTCGAGCATTATACATTTCCAATGCCTTTTCATACGCTGTGGCAATAGTAGAAGGAATCCCATCTAAATCATGTGATTCAACATCTAGAGCAGTCCCCAGTTCCACCTCCCAAGCCTTGTAGTGAAAAGGGTTGACCTTACGTTAGCAAGGGGAAAGACAACTAACGGTGAAATATACTTCGGATGTGCTGAACCTGTTTTTCTTTTTCCTGCAAAAGAGCAGTAATTTTCCAAATGTAAATTTTGAAAACAGATACTTTTTCTGGGTACATAACACTTCATAGGGAAATGAAAGAACAAAATTTATGAACATACATAATGACAAAAAGAAGAAAAAAGGTTTCTAAAATAAACAGGGCATGCAACTTGAGCCATGGTTCTAGGAAAATAAAGGTAGACCCACAAAAGCGTTATTAACCATACTACAAAACTAGTAGGATGGAATAAGACTTTAAATAATCAAGTAAATTGATTAATAGAATGCATCCCTTTAGGCACATATTCTAATAAGTTTCTAATATATATATTATAAATTATCACCTTAATGTTGGTCTCACTGTCGTATTGAGAAGGCCTGCTCAAATTCCCTGTATGGTTCCCATATTTTACTGCCTTCAGCAACATGTACACCGACAGCAGTTATAGCACGCCCGAAAAGATTTCTTCCCTTCGCAATGCCATCAGGTGAAATTCACGTACAGATGGATCATATTCTTACACAAATCTCAAGCAGTCACACCAAAGTGAGAGGCTGCGCCAGAACAAGTTCTAGTCGTAATTTTAAAGAAATACTTAGTTAAGGAACTCCAAAGAACAAAATTAATATTTTTATCCCCTGATTCCACATATATGAAAATACTAATTGAAAGTAGCAAGAACTTGATTTCCCAAAAAGTAAGGAAAAAGATGACAACGTGCAATTAAAACTTCCAAAATGTACTGCCACTTGAAAAATAGATTTCCATTCCCACGATGTTTGAAAACGTTTCCTATCGCCTAATTTGGTAGAAAAATTTGATGATGCATAAAAAAGGAACAGTGTCTTTAAACCCCATCACAAATGTAAGAATATTGATATCCATTCTGAATTGCGAGGCCTACAATCTCTCTTGCCATACAAATGAAACTAATGAGCCTTTTATTTTTTTGCTTTTGGGGTAACGGTCATCAGAGGTACACTTACTAATTTTCAACATTGAGCTTCATGTTTTGGAGAAACTAATATACTTATACTAAGGAAATGAGTTTTGCAAGAGGGCAACGGGGCTGTCCATAAAAGCAATGACAAGAGGGAACTCAAAATCTATAAACAAACAAAATATCAGACAGTCGCAAATTATCAAAAACCAACCTCCAAGTCAACTATCACTGCTTCCTACTTGCAAATACGAAAAAAAAATAAAAAAAGAAGAAAGCTCAAAACTTCATTTCTTTTACTCAATTAAGCCGACATTTGAGCTAAGGCTCAGTAGATAGAAGTCCATAAACTTGAATTCAACATCGTTTCACCATTTAAACTCCAAAAGATAATCACTTCCTCCTTTCAAACGAATCCATTTAATTTTTTCTCTTATACTTCTCTCGTTAACCATAACACTAAGTGATCAAAATGTAATCATGAAACCAATAACAAGAACACAAAATGACAAAACTAAAAACATACCCGTTGAAATAGAAGCTTCATGTTGAGCCCACTCTTGCCACATAACAGGAGTCAATGGAAGTTTCCCCATGCAACATAAATCTGAGTGCCCTTTTGCCCAATCAGCCGATCTTGGGGATTGCCCAAATCAAGTGCAGCTCTTGCTGCCCAAATCAAGTTTGTTCATTTTTCTCTTAGATGGGCATACAAATGAAGTGATATGCTCTTCCGTAAAATGATTGTATCATATCATTCAATGCTCGTTTAACAGTATCATAAAGACCACATCGTTTGTGCACTTATTCAATATCAACAAAAAACAAGTGCCTTAGTACATAAAGGAAACGAAAAATGAAACATATTCATAGATCAATTCAATTAAACCCTCTCAAGCACTTGCTTAAAAAAAAGGAGGAATCTTATACAAATACCATGGATAAAACGTTTAATCTAAATCATGGGGATTATGTAAATTCCATTCCGAAAATATAAAGTGAAACAGTTAGATCTTTTTGAAGAATGGTACTAATTCAAGATCTAGCATTTACAAAGTGAAAACCTCATTCTCGATTCTATGAGAATTTTTAGGAAAACATCCAACAGAATCATGTTGAAACAAACATAATCATATGAGATATGGTATTCATTCAAACTGACAATAAAAATGAATATACATGTGCGAAATTTTAATCGGCCAACATACAGATGATATTCTTCATATTCTTCCTTAGTATTTTCTAGACCAAGACATTTTTTCACATTTTCCACAAGCTGAGATGCAAGGCCATTGCTTTTTTTGTCCTCAAACAGGTATTGTTAGTCATAATTGTGTTTACAGAAACATATTAAGGCAAAACCTTATGTTTTTTTTTTTTTCATAAGAAGAGAAGTTTGTCAATTACTGTGCTATTCTAGTTAACAGAACATGTAACCCTAGGAACAAACCTCACTTCTTAAGGAACATTTCTCTGAATCATTATTTGACTTCAGCTTCTCATCTTCCACTTCCCGGATTTTGGATTTGTCGAGGGCACACCAAGTGGTCTGACATTCCTTGGCATTGCAAATGTGTTCCTGATGGGACCCCAGCAAGAAACAACAAATATTCACAAACAGAGTACCCAGAAAGTCAGGAACAACAATGTAAACCAACACTATTGATATATATTAATTGAAGATTACAATAGATCTGACAATCCCCAATCAATCTCAATGAAACAAAAATAACAAGGAAAGAAAGTCCTAGCAATTTGAGGAGCTAGGGGCCTCCATTGACAACTTTTTTGAGAAAAATCTGTATGTCTATTCCTTATTCTCACTGCCTAATTACAATGACCTTTACCATATTCCTTCCACGTACTCTACTGCCACGTGTATTTTCTCCAACTGAATCCTACTGGCGTAACAACTTTTAGAGAGCACCTTTAGTGTTGCTTCACACGTCTCACAACCTTCTACCCTTGTGCCCCTTGTACTGATAAACCTTGTTGAAAGGGGGCTTATCAGTTCCTCCCCTTCAGCTGAATGTTATCATTACGTTTATTAGCAGCACAGTGTGGCGCTCTAGACTCCCTGAAAATCTGATTACTACTTTGCGCTGCCATTAACCCAAAGGAGTAAGAAATAAAATGTAGAAGTGGGAAACACAAACATGTAACGTCTATAGACTGCATGCACACAAAACACACACACAACATAATAACAAAGATAAAACCTAATTCCCCTTAGCCTACCATGTTCTCCAGAGGCCCCATTACCAGCAAAATCCTTTCTCTTTTGCTTCAGATTTGATCTTGCAATGCTTATCTTCTTCCCAACAAACATTTGTTTGTACTTTCCTACAGCTGCGCGAGGTGTGCATCCAGCAAGATCCAATATGCCAGGCCCTTCAAAATTGACCAAGGTATTACAAATTAGTATGTAACAGTTCCAGACATAGGGCAAGCTGGAGTATGGGTAAATCTGTATGGACTACGGTTGAGTCTCCTAAGCATATCACTTGCTATCAAAATGAAGAAATATGCTCTTAGACAGTTAGACTCTTTATACTTAGAAATATACGCAATTTTACCATAATTATGGAATTCATTCAGCAGTTTATTTGAGACTGCATAATCGTCTATGGCAGGACATTCATCTTACAACCAAAAGTGTAAGAACTAAATTATTTATTGACAGCATGAAAGGAAGTAATCAAATTGAAGTTTCAGTGAGCACCCTTGAGAAATTTGATCAAAGAGAACGACTGCATTTAGCAGTTTCTATCTCCTCGAAGCATCAGCCAGCTGATCTCCCAGTCTCATTAAATTAGTTTCTTAGGGCTATTTTTGTGGTACAGTCCACATTATGCATACATATGTTGAAGTTTAAAGGTGAGGCAATGTTAAATAAGGATTTGACTATAAGACTGATGTGCACATGGAAGGTCCAATGGATAGCTTTCCCTTTTTCATTTGAAGCATAACGCACAAAGTACATTGGCAATAATGAATGAGAGAAAGAGAGTCATACCCTTGACTTTCCAGTGAACTTGTCCTGCAGAATTCGAATAGATTAAGCACCACATTGCTAAAGAATTTTTTTAGATCTTCAGAAGTTGCCTGAAAAAAAATTAAAACCATCAGAATTATCTCTCTGTATTTGCTTGTCTAGCATTACTACCTTTAGGATAAAAAGAAATTTATCCAAAGCAAGTAACCTAATGATGCAGCACATAAAGGAAGGATGCAAATGGGTATTTAGTCCTTATCTTCTATTTTGGATCGAGTATTTGAGTCCTTGGTATCCCTTTCTTGATTTCTCCTCTTAACCTATAATTTCTCCCTATCACCCTATATAGAATCCTATATTATCTATCTAAGATATTCTCTCCCCCTCCATCACCTAAGGAGCCAAATATTATCAACTAGACATTATAACTACCGAGTTTTGTCCAGCATTTCAACATCAAGAATCTACTAGAAAATGGTTAACGGTAATCCACCAAAAAAAAAAAAAAAATGAACTGACAAAACGATGATGAAATGAAATCTATACAATTTGAGAGTAGATTTAGATCTAAAAAACACAAACTCATACCTTAGTTAACAGTTAATATTAACTAAGCTATAAGTAAACAGCTTTAATAACTTAAGGGTTCTTACATGATGCATTTTCAGGCCATGCTGCTTCATGGATTTCAATGGCAATTTGAAATCCCATATCGACCAAATCCCCCGATCATCGTTACAGCAACTGCATATGAAACACCAAACCATATTTTCCTCGACTACAATGTTGTCATTTTAACTGTTCCAACAGGTAGATCCCATTGCCGGCCCTGTGTGCATCCATATTCTTAAGATATTCTAGGATAAACCTTCTCTAATGCTCTTTTGCTTTGTCTTCATCAACTATCGCAGAAAGAGCACTGCCGTGCATAACTACATTAGAGACACACTGGAAGTTCTAGTCTTATCAGATCT